CCTAAAACTCCGATTTTCCTTTATTTCTCCCTTTTCCCTTTAAATTCCTTCCTTAAAATCCCAATTTTCCGTCATTTTTCCCCTTTTCCTTTTAAATTCCTTCCTTAAAATCCCAATTTTCCTTCATTTTTCCCCTTTTCCTTTTAAATTCCTTCCTTAAAATCCCAATTTTCCTTCATTTTTCCCCTTTTCCCTTTAAATTTCTTCCTTAAAACCCCGATTTTCCTTCATTTCTCCCTTTTCCTTTTAAATTCCTCCTCTAAAATCCCGATTTTCCTTCATTTCTCCCTTTTTCTTTTAAAATTCCTCCTCTAAAATCCCGATTTTCCTTCATTTCTCCCTTTTTATTTTTTAATTCCTTCCCTAAAACCCCGATTTTTCCTGCCCCTAGAATCGGGAATTTCCCACCGGGATTGTGGAATGCCCTGAACCGGAATCATCAAATCCCTGCCCAGGACATCCCAAAATCCCAAACTTTGGAATCGCGGCCATTCCCCAAATCTCCGGGGCGGAACCTTTTCCCAAAAATCCACCCCAAATCCCATTCCCGTCTTCCTGATATCCCAAATAAATCCAAACATTTCATCTCCCTGCATCCACCGGGCTGGAAAATACTCGGAAAACCCCAAAAAAAGGCAGATTTTCCAACTGATCCTCCAAACTTGTCCCAAATCTTCCTTTTCAGCCCCAAATCTGGGGAGCCGGGAGCACCCAAAAGTTTCGCTCTGCGGGTTCTCGACGCGGGGAGGGTTTGAGGGAGCAAATCCCGCCGGGAAAGACTCGGAAAACCCAAAAAACGGGGAATTTTCCAACCGATTCCCCAAAATTTCGCCGAATCTCTCTTCTGAGCCCTAAATTTGTTGGAAAATCCTTCACCGGGGAACCGGGAGAACCCAAAAGTTTCGCTCCGCCCGTTCCCGGCGCGGGGAGGGAATTTTGCAACCGCTCCCCCAAAATTTCCCGAAATCTCCCTTCTCAACCCCAAACCTCTTAAAAAACCCTTCACCCGGGGAACCGGGAGAACCTAAAAGTTTCTCTTCCCGGTGCGGGGAGGGTTCGGCGGAGCAAATCCTGCCGGGAACGGGTCGGAAAACCAAAAAAAAAAGGCGAATTTTCCATCAGATCCTCCCAAAAATTCCCCAAATCTGCCTTCTTAGCCCCAAATCTGTTGGAAAATCCTTCACCCGGGGAACCGGGAGAACCCAAAAGTTTCTCTTCCCGGCGCGGGGAGGGTTCGGCGGAGCAAATCCCGCCGGGAAAGGGTCGGAAAACCCCGAAAAAAGGCGGATTTTCCATCCGCTCCCCCAAAATCTCGCCTAATATTCCTTATCAGCCCAAAATCTGTTCGAAAATCTTTCACTCAGGGAACCGCACCCAAAAGTTTCTCTTCCCGGGACGGGGAGGGTTCGCCGGAGCAAATCCGGCCGGGAAAGGGTCGGAACACCCCGGAAAAAGGCGGATTTTCCAACCGCTCCGCTCAAAATTTCCCAAAATTTATTGGAAAACTCTTCACCCGGGGAACCGGGAGAACCCAAAAATTTATCTTCCCGTCTCGGGGAGGGTTCGGAGGAGCAAATCCCGCCGGGAACGCGGGCGGGGGCGGCCGCAGACGGGGCGGGACCGGCGGGGAGAAGCCGCGGCTCCTCCGAGTCCGCCCCGAGGG